CTAATACAATCGAAACCACTTTGAAAAAATCGAATTGATTGAATGAGGGTACTTAAACTTTCCATATTTTGATTTTGAGTTGAATATTTAGAAGAATTTATGGATATATCTTCTAATAACGAAGCTATTGCTTTAAAAAATAATTCATTTAAAAACCACATTTGAAATGTTGATGTTAGAACTTGATTTGTGGTTTTTATATGTTTTATCATTTTAGAAAAGAGTTCAACAATTTCTTGAAATAAATATTCATCTTTGTCGGTTAAAACAATATCACTGGACCACTTATTTAATATATCAGTTAAATAATTTCGTAGCAAATGAAAAAGTTCATTATTAACAATTGATGGATCAATTAATGTTAAACTATAAATATTTTTTAATGCATCAATTATTTGAATATACTCATCAATTATCGAATGATGATTATTATTATTTAATTCAACCACAATTAAATTAAATAAAGATTGTAGTTCTTCAGCTGAAAGTTGTTGTTTTTGATCACATATTGCTGTACAATATTTACTTATTGCAGAATCCATTTGTATCTATATTTTAAATATAGTTCTTACTAAATAAATAGAAAAAATATTTAAAGGTCGGCTATAAAAATCTGTATCTTCAGATTAATATAGAGGAATATAAGAATAAATATTGAAAACACGCGATAAATTACTAATGACGATTTATTTACTCATGGATTTTGTGTTATGATGATACCTGAATGATTCATACATATACTCGATTAACGTATCAATATCTCATCTTATTTTATTGGTTATTAACGCGGTCATGACACACGTTATTTCAAATAGATGTATAACGATTCTTTTTTTTTCAAAGATTATCAAAAATATTTTATTTAGTGTAAATCTGATGTTAGAATGAGTTATCAAAAGAAACTGAGACACTTATTAAAATTCAAACGTTGAATATTATTCTATACATTTGAAAGGTTATTATTTGGTAGTAAATATTTAATTTATTTAAGTATACTTTAGAAAAATTCTGACTAGCGTTACCTTCTTATCTAATTCAGCAAATGAAAAGAGTATTTTTGCCTGTACAAAAACGAGAAGTAAATACTGATAATGCTAAATGCAAGTCAGATAAATATCGAGAATTTCGGCTGAAAATTTATAAAAGACAAGAACAAACACGTCTCTCAAGTCTATAAACATAAATCCGAGAAAAAATACTGATACGACTTGAAATGATGAAGGTTATAGAAATACATCTCAAAATTAAACTGAAAACAATCATCTAACTTCGATGTAGTATGTGGTTTTCTAATCACACTGGAAGATAACCAAAATAACTATATTAAATAAACGAAAATCAGACGTACCCCGTTGTGGTGATATTAGATCTAACTCATTCTTAGCTTAACATTCAAAGTACTTTGAAAAAGTTATGTTAGAAAGAACATCTAAGTTCACTTTTATTCCTTGTCTATCATAATGATCTACTTGTATATATAGAAACTTATTTTGGTCACATATTTACTAACAATTTCAATATGCCGAGAAATTAAGCTTTTCAAAGAAAAACGGATTAAAATAGCTAATCATTCTCAGAAATGAAAACAATTGATTAATGTATCTAAAGCATTAGTACAAGGCTTTACTTGAACATATACGGTGTTACTAAAACTAATGATCGATATAATTTCTTGCTAACGTACAAAGAACAGTTACTAAATGAAAATGAATAGAGACAAATAAAACTCTCTCAAACCAAGTCTTACGAGGATGTTTTGTTTTTTGCGTTTATAGTCTTCCATATTTTGCATAAATATTTCCATTTTATCCAACTCTACTTAAAATTCACAGAGATAAGTAACTAATAAAAAGTCACTAAAAGAATATGTTAAAATACATATAAAGAAAAAATCTGATCTACCTTGTCCTGTTTTTTTACAATGATACTTTTTTTCGAATGAAACAAGTCCGACTTTAAAAAGAAAGATATCATTGTTTGCTTCTTCAATAACTTGAATTGATACCGATGTGAAATCGGCCGTATGACTGTTTGTTTCAAATCATTTTCTTGCTTTTCCTTTTTGTCTCTTCTTTGTTTTATTATATTATACCTCAAGATGACATAACATAAATTTGATATACTTCGTTTTATAAACTCATATCGTTCATTTTTGCTATTCATATTGACAAAGATCGAAATCAAGTAAAGAATATTTTATGTTAACTAAGTGTTATAACAGACGAGAAGATATTGTGTCTCTGCAAGACAAACGAAATATTCATTTACTAAATGAATCACAAGATGAGCAGTTAAAAGATTTTCTTACGATTAATGATATATGTGGTATCAAACATTAACAGTCTGTAGAAACTCATGATAAGAATCTTTTAACGTTATTTATGACTTGTATTTCTGATGTTTCATAAAGATTCAAAATATAATAAAACAAGATTAATCATATTGTTAATATCAAGAAGAAAAAAAAGAATTTATTTATACAAGCGATACTGTAGTTATATAATAGTGAAGATACACATTTGAGTTATGATAAAGATAATTGTTCATGAATATCATAATATCGTAAATGATATGGTTCATTCATCACTAAAGAAAGAAAGATTATAAAAAGGTAAATCATTTTTTTATCGATTTTTGTTAATTAAACATACGCGAATTATTATCATCTACTAATAGATAGTTGTTCACTATTACTAGATTTATATTCGATTGGTAGATCATATTTTATAGTGTGAATCATTGTCCGTCTTTGTGACATACTAAAATAAATTCTCTTTTTACGCATGACTATTATTGACATATCAGATTTATAACTATTAAAAAGAACTACAAAATGAATATATATATATAAATCTTTAATTCTATTTTAGATGAGCTTAGATATAAATTCAACGAATTCTCATTATGAAAATGAAACATCAAAAAAAAGTTCAGTTATTTTATTTCTATCATTTTCTGTCCTATCAGCCTGTATCAGTAAAATAATATTTGCAAAAATATTAAAAAATAAAATTCCACTTCCATTTACTGTCGCTGTACTTATATTTGGATTTTTAATTGGTATCATAGTAACACAATTTAAAAATATCAATAATGATTTTATATTAGGTGAAATCCAATTAAGTGAAATAAATCCTCATTTAATGTATTATATTTTTTTACCATTATTAATATTTGATTCATCATTTAATGGTCATTTTCATGTTATTAAACAACAATTATTATCAGCAATACTTATGGCTGGGCCTGGTGTATTTATCTCAACTGTAATTATTGCACTATGTGGAATTTATATATTTCCATATAATTGGTCCTGGTTAATTGGTCTTATGTTTGGAAGTATTTTAAGTGCAACTGATCCAATTGCTGTCGTCGCTTTATTACATGATTCCGGTGCAAGTCGATCATTAGCTTCGCTAATCGATTCTGAATCATTATTAAATGATGGTTCTGCATTTGTAATCTTTCTAATTTTTTATGATATTGTTACTGGTAAAGATCATGATGCAACAAATATTATTGTGCAGATTATTAAATTTAGTATAGGTAAGAAAATTAATCATTGATTTCAAATTTTTTATTATGACGTATAACGACTCGTTAGTGTGTACTTCATTTAAATTCGATAATCTATCAATCATCATTAAATATTATGAATGATAGGTTTTTCATACATCTGACAAGTTCGTAGTTCTATATTCGATAGGGAATCGATTAAGTTACAATACATTTTCACTGAATAATTTATTTATGTTGTTTTTTTCATCAAATTAATCTATGAA